TATTTATATTTTACCAATTATTTCAACAACAGGCATAACAGAATCTAATTTATTGTTATTAATGTTGTTCAAACTTTATTTGATTGGGGAAATACTCGGAATTGAGAGGCCGAAACTTTCAGCTTTGAATTTTAGTAAATATTTACAAAATAAATACATTGCTTTGGATAACAATTTCAATAAGCTTCCATCGTAGATGATATTTAAACATAAGTTATTATTGATTTATTGTATACTAGGAATTCATTTTAGTTAAATGGTGTATCATGATAAAATCTCACTGTATATAAGTAATGATTGAAGTTTACGTCGGTACTAACTGTCAATATGGTCTGTGTGAACCGAAGCGTCACAGTAAAAAATGGTTTTGTAATGATGAATATTTATCGCTCGCGTGCTTCAGACCATTAGTGGACTTGTATAGACTCGATTACTGCGAGGATAAGAATATTCTTTTGATAACATAACATTTGCTTTTCGTGTCTCTAAAACAAATTGAATTCACCTAAAACGACATTTATGTTGCATTACAGAAAATTTTATTAAAGAAGATCCAAAGACGTTCTGCAATATACGACCTAATGAACTTTGAAAAAAGTGAGCTCGCGTAAATAGTTCATTGTTTTCAATAATACGAACTGTCGCTGATAAGGCATTTGATTAATTAAACTATATATGATTATTATATATAATATTGTGAACGCGGAAATAGTAAAAGGAAAATGTTATACAAAATGTTCGATGTATTTATCCGAATGTAAAATATATTTACACATTTTGATATAAAAAGAACATTGTGATATGGATGAGCAGGTATCATCTGCTATCAAAGCAAATAATTCCAGTAAATGATTGATCAACCAAATTCGTTGTTTGTACGCTTCACTAATTAGCTTGAAAGTGAAATACGATTGATTAACCGATTCGCCATACTTCAAAGAAACCTTTTTATATAAGGTCTGGATAGAAAATTAAAACGGGAGCGACTTGTTTAATCAGTTTTGAAATTTTTTCCGTTTTTACATATGTATATATTAATATATCTTTGTTATTTGAAAGTGCCATCCAATTATAGAAGCGATGAAAGGCAAATTTAAATTATCTTACTATGATCCTAAAGGTTTGTTATAATAACAAATCCATTAATCACAAATATTCATTAAGACCAAGTGTTGAATTTAAATAACTATTTAGCAAGGCAATAATGGCTCCACGCCCTCGAATCCGTTACAATATGTAAAACATACCACGCCAAAACCATACCTATTCCGAAGTCGGAGACGCCAATATTGTGTCCTCAATTTTAAGTGCTGGTTCCGCTATCTTAGTTGTACGTGCAGATGGTGATAGCTTGCACCAATTTAATAACCATGCCTAGTTGAATACGGAGCTGGCAGCCAGCGATTAGGTCACGATCACATTGACGTAATGTTAGTGAGATTCTTTTATTCAATTCTCGTTCTTTTTGAACGCTGAATATCTCCGAACACGCCGTCTACTTCTAGTATTTTAATGACGTTCGCTACGTTCTGTGAATTGCAATTTATATTCCAATGTGTTTGTTGGAGACGAACAATTTTACATTGGAATATGCTTTTTTTCTATTCTATAATATTATTGTAACAAGATAATAATAAAAGCTGATCGGAATGTTTATTTTAATTAGTTATTGTTTATTACTGCTGTAGATTAATATTATTGAATGTATATGACACTGGTATAATCAAAAGTCATTCATAAAGTCCCGAGCCCCAGTAGGGACAAGGTTTTACCAACCGAGCAACTTCCGAGTGGCAACCGCAGTAATTCCCTTCCGATCGGGTTTCAATACATTTACACTCAGTATTAGCGATATGAATTTTGTAATATAAATGCCGATAACTTCAGAGACCTCGCCAAAGAATTTGTAATATTCTATAGCGTTTACGTAAAAAAATATATATATATATGTTCAGGGCTACGGTACATATTGATGTAATAAAGTTACAAAGCCAATTGGAATTCTTATTTAAATATCCTAGGCCTGTGTTCAATCCGGAATATTTAATAAATTTCGAGTTATAAAGAAACATATTGAAGGTTATTTTTAACTTTTATTGAATCTATTGTAAGACTTTATTGCCTTATAACAAATATATATTACTTCTTATAAACAATTGTATGGTCCAAGTAGACAAAACTGTATAATCGTGTGTATCCGAGCGCGTTTTTCATCTAACTTGTGTGCAACCAGCCAAAGCCGGAACACTGCAATATTATTGTAAATTCTCGCACCGCTAAACGGTGCACACATTGTTGTGTGAAGATATTGTGTCCAAATTAATGTTTTGCGGTTTGCAGCAATGGGAAATCTGCGTTCGAAACGAGTCTTGAATGCATTTTGTGCATCTCTCTCGCTTTATATATTAACACATTCCCAATAAAACATGTCATTAATTAAATGTTTATTTTGTAATCTCATTTAATTAAATTTCCTAAGGTTAGCAGCAAATACAGCTGATTGATGTTAGAGCTCATTACAAACAGTATGTAAACAACAGCACGCACGCAACCTTAAATTCCTTCTCAATTAGTTATAAACGGTGTGTGAAGTTTTTGCTTTCACATTGTTTTATAAAAACATAATATTTTTAAAAGTCACGAGAGCTTTTCATAAAAGATAAAAAAAAAATGCTTTTAACATCTCGATTTTATCAAAAAATATTTGAATATAAAGGAATATAAAAGGTGAAATACCGATGTCAAAATGTATAAACCGCGTACTATTTTTGTCATAAAATGAAGCTGTATAACATTTTTAGGCAAAGCTCCCTATCACCGAGGCCACGGAAGGACCATCGATAATTAAATTCGATTCATCAAAAGCTTTTAGTGATGTGCACCTATCGTTGTACATATATCGATATCAATGACGTCCGACTGACACTAGACGATGATTCGATCGGTTGAAGTTTGACAACGATCTCATATCCATCTCATTCGTCCGTATACGATGTGAAAATGATTACAACACTAGCTCTCCGTTCCACGAGTTCTTTAACAAAAAGATATTAAGCTGAACTTAATAGGTATTTTATTATCAAATAAAAACATATAAGAGGTATCTCGTGAGCGTTATAACGCTAACAACTAAATGTTCTAATAATTTTACATGATGAGGTGTCGGAATAACGGATACGGTCACGCGATTACATGAAACTCGAGTTTTATGAATCAGAGAACTTCGTACGAAAGAAACCTGTTGCTTAATAAAGCACTAAGAATGATTGATGAATTGTCGACGACTTATTGATATCGGGATTTCGTTCTTTATATGGTTCGCGTTAGAACTTATTTTCCTTTATGATACAAATGCCTTTTTACAAATCAATTTGCCTCTTATATTATGTATAAAAAAACGACACCGCCTAAGTGTACGATTGAAATTAACTTTCAAGTATCGTTGTTGAATTCGTATTTTAGGTTAAGGGTGTACATTTAATGTATTAATATCGTACAATACAAATAATCAATGTCCCATCACTATTACCATGTTTAAGTTTCTATGATTTCCTCGGGGGTTCAGTCGGGTTTGTCCGATGACGTTTTATTAACCTATCTTGATACGAGGGTCAAGCTAAATAGAAATTATTCTTGATAGCAAATAACACTGTCCCCGGGCCTCGTCTTGTCCCGGAATATAGCTGGAGATATGAAATACTGTTTTAATTGAATAACCTTATACTAGTAAATATATATCAGTACAAAAGGTATGTGATAATTTACGAGATATAAGACTTGCGGGAGTTTTCATTTAATTAGATCTAAGATTTTCGTGAGTATTCATTTAAATGGAACTAATATTTTTCGGATGTACTACGCGAATTTTAATTTTGATAAAAAACTACAAACTCCCGACGTTTAGGCTACTTTACAGCCGTGATCACGGCCAGACGAGATGTGAATAAAAGTATAAAATAACCCATAGTACCTAATAAGAAAATATTAGTTTTATTTGTGAGATAATTTGTTGACTAAACTTTATTTATTTTGAATACAAATGATTCTTGTTGTGTAAAATAATAATTGAATCCAACGGGTGTTGCAACTGTAAATAATTTATGCGTCCAAATCAATTCAAAAAACGATTTTAGGATACCAAGCCATGTTGTAAGGATTACTTTGATTTGATGAGACGTAAAAATCTTTACAATAATTAACATTCCAGTGCGGAAATATTAGACTGGAGATAAAATATTCAACAACAAATCTCTCGTCATGGTGACGTTTTCAAAACTAAATATTTATATCTGCGATGGTGAATCAAATATCATGGTATTAATGGACTATCACCGTTAGTATGGGATGTAACTTGTATGGGACAAATTGTATTAAAATTTTCTATCCCTACTATTATTATAAATGCGAAAGTAACTCTGTCTGTCTGTGTGTCTGTTACGCTTTTATGCCTTAACCACTGAACTGATGTTAATGAAATTTGGTATAGGGATAGAGTTGACCTTGAGAAAGAACATAGGATAGTTTTTATCCCAGACTTTTGAAAGGTTCTCTTGGAAACGCGATATAACCGAACTCCATGCGGACGAAGCTGCGGACGGAAAGCTAGTTATATATATTTATATGTTAGAATTGTTTACTATATGTCGTAATGAATTGAAGGTTATATTAAGGCAGTGGTCACGTAGCTCCAATAAATGGCAAAAAACGTACTTAAAGACTACCCAGGTCGAGTGGATTTGGTCCCTTTAAATCAAGAGGGTAGACGCGTTTTTGTGGAAAAAAATATATAAAGGAAAATATAATTTGAAAGATATTTTTTTTCCTAACAATCTCTAATTAAGTTTGTTTATTCATTATATTTGAAGTGGTGTTTGCTGTTTATCTTTTATGGATATTTTGGATTTTACTTAATATATTTTATTTAATGACCGCTGCTATTATTATTTTTAATCTGTGACATGTTATTTTATTACACAGATTATAAATTATAGTTGACTAACCTCCTCTATTCTCGCTGTCCGCAGGTTTCACCTGTATCGCTCGGTTCATCTGAAAAGATAATAACATATTATATTAATTATTAATAAAATAAATTAACGTAACTTACATACTCTAGTCAATAAACAAGAATCTGTAGTTCATATTGTTATATTAAGAACGCTAAATATGATATCTATGAGACGAAATATGTTTTGTAACAGATACGAGTAGTTCAGGAATTATTAAGAAAAACAGATAATAATTTCCAATATTTTAAATATATTTCAATATATCTTCGCTTCTCAACCCGGTATTATTTTATGAAACTCGTAAGACGCTCTAAGATTATTAGATTCCTTATAAATAAGTTATTGCTGGGAAGCAATTACCCAGTTTTTCAAGGAATTCTGAATGTAAGGAATAAAATCAGCTAAATTACCTGTTTCAGTTATTTCTACGTTGAAGAAAAGGGATGGCCTATATGCAACGTGGGCGTGGTTTAGCGACCTTTCACATAAATATTTAACGATATATATAACATGGAGTGCTTATGTACTGAGGAACAAATAACAACTGACTATAACACCTTCATATGTAGAGGAAAGACCCTTTTAATTATCGACAATCCCTAAAAACAAATAATATATTATTTCTACTTATAATTCTGTTATTTATTAGCCAAAATTCCATGTAGGTACTACGTAAACAAACCAAACGTCGACGGAAAGCCATATCAGTAATACCTTCTAATTCGTCAACTAATGTATTTTGTCAATAAAGATGTTATCCATACTTTTATACAGCTCTATCAGCATGCCACTACAGGTAAGCAAGAAATGACATCAAGCTAATTTGATTGTTCGCTGGATTGATATAAGGGCGACAATCATATACTTAATTCCTTTCATTAATGTAGAAGCTTAGTGGTTGTTTGTATAACGGTCATAAAAGTCATAAAGGTAAATTAGTAGACACATTTTATTACATGTAGCGTGCATAAGTTTCCATATAAATCAACAGTACGATATATCTTTATTTCTACAATAATTACTATAATTCTGTTTCCGATAACAATCCATTTTTATTATTTGTTTTAAGATTATTATAAGAACCTTTTAGTGTATATAATATATTATGTCGTGTCGTGCTCGTGATGTAGTCGTGAGGTATAAAGGACTGGTAACCCAAATTGTATTGTCACCGACTATACTAATATATTGAAGTTTGCAATTAGCGAAGTAGATTTTTTTCTGATGACCATTAAATGTAACGTTATATGGATATGTATATATTTTTTCGTTTATTTGTAATTTCATAAAACTTGTACCAATTAAAATTGAACTGTAACATAACTGAATGTTTCAGTACCATTTTGGAATCATTATCTATATCAAGAAAATAAAAATAACATATTAATTGTGGTTGATGGTTTTGTAAAATATATATAAGTGGTTTGAAATGTGCCAATGAAGAATGAATATTTCATTTAAATTAACAAAATGTTTATACGAGCTCTTTCTTAAGGATACCATATAAAAGGAATTCATAAAGTTTAATTATAATTTTTAAATTAATATGTTTTTTTAATAACTCTTTTAATAATTTAGTTCTGATTTTCATATTTTAAATTGGTTGTTACCAAGTAAACGCTCTATTAATCGGTTGATTGAGTCAAGTTTTAATCTCAGTTTAGAATAACGTATCTCAAGTGTTACGTTTCATCAATTCACCGGTGTCTTGGAAGGGCCTCCAAGAAATACCGGATCTGTGGAATGTAAGCAATCAATAGAGATCAAAAGATCTAGTGGTTCTCAATAGTATAAGTAAAAAAACTTCGACTAGGTGAAATTGCTTTCTACAAATTACTATCTGATACAATAAGCCTTAGGCTCACCGTTCGTAACAGAGGGATAATAATAATATTTATTTGGTACCAAATACTTTAAGTGTTTTCTACTGTTTTATTTATAAAAATAAAAATTTTAAAATGAAAAACTTGAAAATCTTGAAGGTTAGAAACATAGTTTTTTTTATATAATGTATTTATTTTCTTTGTAACAATTAATTCTCAACTTATCATTCAATTCAACAAGCTATTCATCGAATAAGAAGGAGCAACATTGAGTTGCTTTAAATGAATACCACTCGACAAACAAAGACCCTTGAAACAATAATGTAATTAAAGTCCAATAATTATAATAAAACATAACAGCCATAACCATTAAGTTACTATTAAAAACATATTTATCAATGCTTCATGTCAACCGACAGTTATCTGAAAATATTATCGCTCGGAATAAAATAGCGTAAAACAACATGTCCGCTCGTGGGTATATACCCACCGAGCTGTCAAACTGAATAAGCTGTCCCAGTATTGTAAGTAATGACATTGACAGTTGTCACTGTCACCGTTGCTAGGTAACGAGGCCGCCAACAAGCAAATGACTGATGATATTATTCTTCTATTAACCGTAAAGTTTAACTAAAAAGTATGCATATATTACATTCATTGGGTACATAAAAAAATAACATCGAGTAATTTATACGGAACAGTGAATGTTTTTATAAAATATATTATTATGAAAACGAATTTCCTGTGTATTTTAAGGTTCGTGTTGACCTAAAAACTTTTGTTAACTTTGCCTTTAGGGAATTAGAGGGTCATGACGCTCCAAGATTTTTTACTGAATAAGAAAATCATTTGTTAAACACACTTAGAAGATTTAAAGAAAACAATATTTAAAGTACAACGCTGTGTAACCTTTTTGTGAATAATTGGTTATGACTATGCATAATATATTAAAAAAATAACTTTACCACATTATATTTGAATATCTAATATTAAAGGGCTCTTGATGTAAAGCCAGTGGTTATCATTAACTGTACTAAGTAGGCAATAACGTGATACCTGGAACTTTGTCATCTTGGAGTGAAACATACAAAATTAGAGCATAATATTAAATTAATAAAGTTCAAAAGCCGTTGCGGTTCCATGCGAGAAAATTCAAAAACAATTTATTAGCTTTTGTTTGGAAGTAAAACCGATCATAAATTACGAATACGCGGCCAATCCAGATCCTAAATAGAATTTGTTAAGTAATTTGATAAAATAATCGTGTACCGGCCAGAGGCGGAAGTGCAAAAACGTTCAGGAATTTGTCCAAGCAATTTCAAACTGTCGTAAATTACACGGAAAGAATTCGTGAGCATGTTAAGTACGGTTCATAAATTAATTAAGGTTATTACATTGTTGTTTATTACAATTTAAAGGGTATTAAATTATTTTCAAAGTTTACATCCGTGTCACCGGCCGCGGAAGGGTTAAAGGTATTCATTAAAGTTATTTTTCATTAAATATGTGACAAGTTTTATATGAGGGTTTCCGTAAAGGTAGTTAGAATAGATCACTGGTTGAATCGCTGAAGCGGAGCTGTGAGCTGGTGTCTCTAACAGGGTGACACTAACCCAAAAACTTATAAAAAATGAAGTTTCCCTAACTCTTAGAACTAATGGGGCGTGGAAGGGACATTCTTTCGGAACTTTGCCCCGTCCTGGTTAGGGCATGATAAAAGTTTTTATGTAGTGCTTAAGACTGACCCAACAGTTTAGAAATCCATAACACATTATGATATCGTATACTGCCTGTTCAGAAACGTTGGATCCTTGGCTGTATGTTTATATCTTGTTTTATATTCGCTGTTACAGAGATGGGTATACCTATTTTTTTATTAAATAATCTTACAAAATATAAAAATATTTAAATCCTGTTCGTTATTGATAACATTATAATGGAAATAATCCATATATTATGTTGAAATAAAGTTTTTTGTTTAAATAACTTTCAAATAAATGAATGAAAAAAGTTATGATTATTTCATAGTTTTAAGCCATTGTAATATTAAATAATTATTTTTTTATTATTTAAATACAAATAAATTATTAAAAATTTCAGGTAAATTAATATTACATTATGTTTTAAAACTTGAAGAATCTTAAAAATGTATATCACTAAATTTAATAAATAACACAGTATTAAACGTTTAAAAAAAATTTAAAACAAAATTTTAAAATGAATATTAAAATAAAAATACAATTTAAAATCCATAAACAATTTTATTTTTAATAAAATAATATAATGTGTTTAATGAAAAATTTATTACTGTTATCACAAAAATCAAAGATGACTTGGAAAATGTTTTATAAAAAATAACAGAGAAATCAAAAGTCTATATTTTATTATAAACAACTTTTTTAACTAACAAATTTTGAAATATATTTTTTAAATTTCTTTTTTCACGGGAATTAACAATCAAAGTTGCTGGATTTTCTGAAAATAAAAAAAAGATAAACAAAATAAAAAAATTATAATAAATAAAATAAAAAATAAGAAACAAAAAAAAAAGTTTTTAGGAAATTAAAATATTAAAATAAATTTTACTTACAATAATCGGCGGCGGGTATTCAACTTTCGCCGAACGCAAAATATCTACGAGATGAACCATATGGACAGATGAATAAGTCCCAATTTAAAAGCAAACCGTCTATGCCGTGATCGTAAACGTACGTTCGTCGGTGAGCGTGGCGTGAGTAACGTATACACGTGCTACCCGCTCGGCGTTCAGACGTTGACTGAGAAGCCAGCGAGCAAACGCACGCGGGAGAGGGTACACGCACTCACGCAGACGACACAGCCAATGGCGTGCGTGAGTCGCGCGCACCCCCGCACTTCAGCACAGGCCCCGCGCGCTCCGGCACCTCACAATCGATGCCCTATATTGCATTAATTATTTAGGAAACACGCAATGAGATAACACGAGGTGGCAGATAACGGATCTGTGGATTTTAAATAAATCATCTTGTCTTAGTTTTTTTTTTAGTTCGCCAGCGACGACCCTCTGTAACGCATTACGGCGTCACCGACGCTAGCGTTGTGATTGTTTCTTTTTTGTAGATTGTAATGTAAACATGTTTTTGTTAACGCTTTGTAAATAACACGATAGTGTTGACACGTGGCGGGGCTTTACGTATATTTATCTTTATAAATAACCTTGGCTTTTATATATTTAGAA